ATATATTAATATTTAATATTTATTAAATAATTCTTTCAATCTTTTTTTATAATAACACTTGTTAAGCAATTAATTCACAAGAATTAAGAGAAAAAAAATCTAAGTTAGTCAATAGCATTAAGTTTATCGTAAATTTACGAAGAATATCAAGACATTAGTTAAGAGTCAAAAGTGAATTTTTTTTTTATTTTCAAAATTGTAATAGTAGATTCCAATTATTGATTCCTAATTGGTATCTTAAGGGTGGTTAATTTTAATTGATATATTTGTTAGCTTAGCTGTCAATTACGTGATCTTAGGAGTTAGTTACTCCTTGATTCTCTCAATTAGTTTCTGATTGTAATCTTTTCATATTATTGTGATTGATTCGGTTATATTGGATAATACAATCACATGTATATAAGTAACTCGAATTAATGACAATACTAAGGGTTTTTTTCCCAAAATTGGCATGGTATCAAGAATGATTGATCCTAGGGCTGTGTTCTAAAGATCAAAAGCTTAAATGGCAGATGAGAGCACGAGGAATGAACTTAAGGCATCCTTTAACATCTTAGAGGACCTCGTGTAGTCTCTAGCTGCTACCATTGCTAAAGTCCTAGCACAGAACTAGTTTACTCCACAAACCAATTCACAAGAGTTAGACAACAACACAATTAACATAAAACTTGACAGATCCAATTATGGTTTATGGTCTCAGGTGGTTGAACCCTAGAGTGCTATCAAACTACAATCAAGCAAGTGTTATCATATAAAAAGACAACTTATTTATTTTCCTTCTTAATTGATCTATTACATGTATGTTCAATGCATCCCTTATTTATTGCTTTTGAATTTATTAGGGATGGCACGAATGTAAAAGGATATTTGCATGGTCATTGATTAACAACTTCCACCAGTATTTTAGCTACACTTTGAGATATGAAATTTGCTTTGTAAATTACGATAATGGACTCAAAAGATATCCTAAACTCTCAACCATTTGGTTTAAGAATTTTCTGCAACACAAAAATGTTACGGGTGTATTTGGGTTACTGTTCCGTTGAACATGACCCACTTTTTTTTCAATCCATCAGTATTGTTGCTTCTCCATTTTGTGTTTTGGAATGCGTAAATGAACGTTTGATGTCTTTCTAACAACAATTCAAATACACACTACATATGATACTTCGTATTAAGAAGATGAATTTCATTAATAATGTATAGGGTGTCTAAATATTATAATATCAAGCACATGACTCAATGTTCAAACTTCAGTTTTTTTAAGTATGAAGAATTATGTCTAAGATCCACATATATGTATGATAGTGGATTTTATATATAGTGTTCAGCAATGTGTTGCTTCAACTTTGATTTCTAAATAAATATTTTAAAGTAAGGTAAAAGAGTAGATCAACAAAATGGTTAATTTCAAACCATCATCTGCCAAATGAATGCTCAAAACTCCAAAATCGATTAAAAATTTATGAAGCATAAAGCAAGACATAGTTGAAAAGGGAATAATCAAGTTGTAACTAGTTAGATTGAAAAGATGAGAAAAGAATCACCTTAAACTATCAAAATTACATAAGGTAGGGAAAAAAAATCTTACCTGCTAAGAATCGTATATGGAATGAGATATGAGGGTTTAACCATGTGAACAGTCAAGAATGCCTAGCCAGTTACACAAGGAGAATATATACTTAAATTTTCTATAAAAAAAATAATTGTCTAAAAGAATAAATATACAAACTCTATTAAATTTGACTTGCCACATGTTTTAAATTACGTGACTGGAAACATGTCTCTTTCTGCATCACAAAGATAAATCGTTCAGACTTTTGTTAATTGAAATCACCATATTTCTCTAGGATCAAAGGGATGAGATGGATGCAGAAATTCTAGTTTCGTGGTCCAGTTTTCCTTTATTTGCTTCATCAAAGACTTCTACCATAAGTGATTTTAAAAATGATATGTTTATGAGTGCTCCTTGATTCTTTTTAGCAAGTGGCAAAGCTCTGCACTAACTTGAAGCAATGTGTCTTCAGCAAAGAATTCTTGAACAACACCATTAACATCGACCACACTACACCCGGGCCTTTTTTTGACCCTCCCTTCCTTCATCAACTTCCTTATCTCTGAGGCCTCCTTCCACATATTAGCAACACAATACATATTCCATAAAAGCATATAAACTCCACCATCATTTGGTTCAATTTCAATTACCTTCTTTCCTGCTATTTGAGCCAAGCTCAAATTCCCATGAACAGAGCAAGCAGTGAGTAATGATCTCCATATAGTAGCATCCGGGTTAATTGGCATCATCTCAATCACTTCTTTTGCATCTTCCAGAAATCCAGCGCGGCCAAGAAGATCCACTATGCATCCATAATGCTCAATCTTCGGCTTCATATAATGGCACTGAATCATTCTATTGAACAACACTTTTCCCTCCACAACTAATCCAGCATGGCTACAAGCAGTTAAAACTGACAACATGGTTACCTCATTTGGGGTAACCCCTGATTCTAACATCCGAGAAAATGCCTCCAAAGCAAGGTGCCCTTCCCCATGATAAGCATACCCTGATACCATTGTAGTCCATGAAAACACATCCTTCTTCAAGATCTCATCAAATATCCTTACAGCTAAGTCAAGCCTTCCACTTTTGGAGTACATATCCATCATAGCATTGCTCACTGCAACATCCAGCTCCAGGCTCATCTTCTTAACACAACCATGTAAACACTGACCAAAATCAAGAGCCCCAACATCAGCACATGCCGAGAGCACCGCCACGATCAAATCCGCACAAAGACGAGGTCCTCCATCATCAGCTCCCATCCGCTTAAACATCTCAAAAGCCTGAATTGGAGCTCCTCCCTTGACACATCCAGTAATCATAGCCGTCCAAGAAACCAAATTTCTCTCAGGCATTGCATCAAACACTTCACGGGCACAATTCAGATTGTTACACAACATGTACCCATTGAGCAAACTAGTCCAAGAAAACACATCCTTGAACCCCATCTTCTCAAAAACCAAAGTAGCCATTCCCATCACCCCATTTCTACAGTACATGTCGATCAAAGCATTACCCACAACTGGGTTTTCATCCAAACAATTCCTCAACACCATTCCGTGAACAACCCTCCCTCTAACCAAATCCTTGCAGTGCCCACAAGAGGATAAAGCTGCAACAATGAGGAAGCTATCAGGTCTAAGACCAATATGCAGGCAACGGGAAAACGCTGAGAGGGACTTGGAAGGAAGACCAGAATGAAGGTAGAGGTTGAGGAGGCATGTCCATGATACTATATCTGGACCCTTAATCTGATTGAAGACCCTCTCTGCTTCTTCTGTTTTTCCAACATTCTTGTAACTTTGAAGCAACCTGCATGACAAAGTTTGTTGGACATTTCGGAAGTTTAGGAATCCTAGTGTCACACACTGCGCATGGATTCGCTTAAGCTGGTCCAGGCTTGCACAACTGTGCAGTGTTCTTTGCAAGGATGCGTAGTTCATCAAAATAAAACTGGATCATAGATTCATAGTTCATCCGTTAGAAGTTAGAACATTGAAATTTGTACATTAAAAACACAAAAACACGACTCACCTCTAACGTACTAGAATTTGGTTATACTCTTTTATTTTATTTTATTTTTTTTATTAATTCCTATTCTTATAAATTTTTATTCTTTTAAAATGACATCATTATTTATTGGAGATCTAATTTACAATAGTAATACAATCTAAGTAGTATATATAATTTAAAATAATTCTTATCTTACCATTCAGGATTGAGTTAAATCTAAATCGATATTTTAAAATAATGTTAAATTTATCTTAAAATGATATTAATTATTGTTGGGAGGTTTTCGCTTTTGTACCACATGCAAATATTCATGAGTTAAATATCTTATGACTGAGCAGTGATAATAATAATCTTCATTTGTGATTCTCGTGTTAAAATCTCACAATTAATTCTTTTAAACGTCCCAAGGATTATTAGACAAGGGTGTGCAATGCCATGCCCCTTTATCAACCCCCAAAGACCAAAGTGGAAACACATAGTACCCCACTCCTGGCTCCAAAGGGTTCCCTTGCTTATCAACCACTGGCTCAGGTTCTGCTGCTAGTAGTGGCTATGTTTAGGGTCATTAGAAGGGGAAAACATAGGGTGAGTAATTGATGCACTGGAATCGCAACCTTCAATGTTTTTGTCACTCAGATTGAGGCAAAATGGCTAATGTATTATGTGTATGATTATGACACTTGTGTTACATATTTCATAATGCATCATAATAAAGTGCTGCACGAGGTGAAACTTTTGCATGGGGGTGCTTCAACCAAGTTTATTTGGTGTTTTTTTTTTTTTGTTATGGATAGAATTATGTTATAGAAAATTTGGGTCATGTTGCACGAGCTTATTAGTTTTAAATTTGCTTATTATTGGTTGTGGATATAGTATAATATAGACATTTTGGGTTTTCTTTATATTAAATTTGCCACGAGTATATATAGCATTAGTGTGGTTAATTTAAAATAAGATTTTCACAATATAATTGTGGAGCTGGAGTGCAACCGAGATGTTTACTCGACAAAAGCTTTGTTAAAATTGAAACTTCACGTACGTGCTAGTGTTTATTTTCGGATAAAAAGAGGAAGTTATCGATCTTGTCAATTGTTATATCCATTTATCGTTTTATCCTCGTCCACATGGAAGATAATTGGTAAAAGAATTTTTGAAAGTTACATGGTTGCGTTGGCTGAGCCTAGTTTGAAATTTGATGAACTTAATTTTGTTTTTATCCTTTGTTTTTTTATCTTTATATGACGAATTCTTCCTTTGTTCTTGCCTTCTAGTTCTAGGCACAAAGTGCTAACTAAACTCAAGAAGAGTCGATCATGCTTAGCCTCGAGTTACTTGGCAAGCTATGTTGCTCTTTTATACTTCAATTAAGGCAGAATTAGAAAAAACATGTTACAAAATATGGAACCCAAAAACTTGAGACATTTGGTACAAGCAAAATAACTAAATTTCATTTCCCTTGTTAAAACAGAGAGAGAAAGATATTATTGTTTGCAAATCTTAAAACAGAGACAAGGACAACGACTGTTTCTGTTGTGAGACATGCGAACCTAGAAAACTAAACTCCTTGCAATTCCTTCACACAGCCACAGCAAAAAAGAGCTGCATTGCCTTGCACTCTTGTGGCCTATTATTCCAAGTCATAACCCCTCTTACTATGACTAGAAATTATCAGGTAATTCATGATCCTATCAAATTACTACATGACATGACATGCAATTTAAATTTTTTTTATCAGAGAAAAAATTTAAAAAAACACTCTTATTACATGTCATGCAGAGAGACTAGTTAAAAATCATGCATAACAGAACCACCTGATAATCCACAAAAGGTACCAAGTACCAACCAAACTAGACAATGCTAAAAGCCTGATTCTTCTCATGATTCACGGAGGCCTTCTGGAACCTGACATAGTAAGGCTCAATGTTATCTCCCACAGCCATAACTTTTGTTCCATCAGTATCCACAAAAGTGCCCACAGGAGCACAGAGTGTTCCAGGCACACTGGGGCAGAACTTGAAGCTGTAGATCTCATAGGCATGCTCCCCTTCAAGCCTCTCAATCTTGAACTTGCTAGTGATGTCATTGGGGTTCCCATCAGCGCTCACAAACCAGAACCCTGCACCTTCCTTCCTCAGCCTCCACACGTTTGACTGGACGCAGATTGTGCTCACAGGGAAGTCAACTTTGAGGTCAGTGAGAGTTGGAATGTAGTCAAAGCCCGGTGCAGAGAATGTGAGAGGTAGGCCTATGAATGAAGGGTCACGGATGACGTCAAGAGGGCATGTCTTGTTCCTAGTTGGGCCCAGTGAGAGGCCCCCTTCGTCGGCCCAAAGGGGGAAAACGTAGTACCCCACTCCTGGCCTTAAAGGCTCACCTTGCTTGTCAACCACTGCCTCTGGCTCTGCTGCTAGGAGTGGATGTGTGTTGAGAGCCAAGAGGAGGGAGAGACATAGGGGAACTGCCATGGAAAACTTCATTGTGTTTGCTTATGTGATTCAGGCTAGTGTGTTGTGTGGATGTCACTTGTGTTGCATGTCTCTTGATGCATCATTATATAGTGCTGTCAGCTGTGTGAGGTCCCATTTGGACTAAGGATTTCTTTTTTATAATAATATTGGTACAAAGTATCATTATTAAAAATTCTAATTAATCTCAACTAGATTATGAATGTATGTGGATATTCCATTTTTAATATAATTTATTTCATATTTAACATTAAAATTTGAACTCTATACTATTTAGTTAAAATTATAAATCGTTATTACTTATATCAACTGATGTTAATTGTGCATTGAAATAGAGCCTCTCCCAGCATTTGGATTAAAGATAGTGTAACCAAGTTTCTTTGTTATGTATGATAAAGGAATTTTTAATTTTGGAATTTTTCCATTGGTTCTAGTATAAATAAATAAAGATTTTTTTAAAGTGAGGTTTTATGTTTGTCTTATAAATAAATATATATATATATATATATATATGATAAAAAAAAGTTTTACTAAAAAAAGGTTGGACGAATTTCTCTTGTCGAGATTAGTATTTAAAAAAAATTAGATATTTTTTATCAATTGAATAAAAAATAATTTTGAAATTTGGGTTGTGAAACACGAGGTTATTGCATTTAAATTGGCATTAAAAAATATTTGATGTTAAGAAGTAAGATGATACTGGATAACTACGAAGATATATAATTGTTGATCTGTACTGGTTTTTTGGTCTATATTATATTTGACCCGAGGGGCACGAGTGGTTTATTTAAAATAAAAGTTTGAAGATCTGCGGAACGTTGGGATAGAATTGTTGACTTGGTGTGGGACCGAGGTGTTTACTCTACAAAAAACATTATTAAAAATGAAACTTCACGTGTTTGTTTTCAGATAAAATAAGAAGGTATCTTTTCAATTGTTATAGCAATTTTTTGTTTTATCTCCTCATACACGTGGAAGAGAGTTGGTACAAGAAATTATGAAACTTACACAGTTGTGTTGTCTCTGAGCCTATTATGATTTATGAAATTGTGATCAAGTTACTTTTATTTCCTTCTTTTGTTCCTGTTTTTTTTTTTTACGAATTCTTCTTTTGTTCTTACCTTCTAGTTCTAGTTCTTCAATTTTGTGTGTAGGTGTAGGTACACGCTGGTGCATGTATAAATTAGTAGTGATATTCAAATTTAATATTTAGTGTGGTTAAATTATGTAAAAGTTTCTCCTTATAGAAAATTAAATAAAAATAATAATACATAGGAGCATGAATCTTAATTTTTTTTTTTAAATATTGGAAGTGATAACTTAGTAAAATTTTGAACAATGTCGTTATCGCATAAAGTGTGAAAACAATGCAAACAGAATTATAATACACAGAGCAACTACTCGTCCACTAATATTAACCTTATTTTATAAACATTAACCGATCACACACAAATCCAAGCTTAAATTGAATTTAACAAAGTTGTTCCATGCATGTATAACAATCTGGAATCACCTAAACTTATTCATAAATTATAATCAATTTTCCCCTATTTTACACCATCAAATCATCAAAACTTATTAATAATACGACTTTTAAGATACTTATTGTAAAAGTTAACAAACTTACCATGCATGATAATTTGGATGACAACAAAGCCTATTTTCTCTTTTTTAATTTATTATAGATGATCATGAAATTAAAAGCATTGGTAAAAAAAATGCTTCATTTTTCACCAGAGGTATAACAAATATCAGAGCTTATTTTTAGCTCGTCATGGAGTTGGTATGAAGGTAATGATATTAGTTAAAATCGAAATTCAAGTTTGTTAAATGCAATTTTCCTGACAATCCTGGACGGATTTATCATCCAAGTTCTCACAATTCATCCCATTCAAGCTTTTCGTAAATTTTTCTCCAAGCTTTGACCATTCACTTCGAATATGTGCTTGGTTTTTCTTGGCAACTTCCAACTCATTTCTCAAGTGAGGCACTTGTTCCCTCAAATCATCTCTTTGTGCTTTGAGAATCTTTGCTTCTTCGAAAACTTCCCTTTTCCTCTTAGTACTTGTTATCCTAGCCGTTTGAAAAACAGAAATGTTAGCTTTAATTGCATTTATTTGCTCTTCAAGCTCTTTCTTTCTTTTCTCCAAACATGATAACTGGTTGCTTAACTCATTCTCTAAGGACAAAACTTCCTTGAACTCGTTCTTGTTAGCTTCAAGATTTTCTTCTAGTTTATCCGCTTTCGAGATGTTGGTGCTGGCAGAGTCTATTTTCCTACTAGCATCGTTGTAGTCGCAACTCCAGCGAGTGAATTCTCTAGAAACTTCTAATATCAACAACCTCATTTCTGCTGAGATTCCATCGTCTGCAGACAACTTGGAAAGGTATTCTATGGCAGATTTGATGGTACTAGATTGTCCAGTATGCAATAGATCAGAGAAGTCTTTGGAGAGAAGGTCTTGCAGTGTTTTCAAAGCTTTCTTAGTCTCTTCACAAGGTGTGGTGTTGGATGATTCAGTAATGACTGTGGTATCTTGGGAAGGTGACATAACTGGGGTCTCGGCATCGAGAGAAGCATAAAATGCTTTCATTTCTACATCATCGAGAGTCAGTTCCCCTTGATTCTTGGGAGACTCAATGCTAGACAGCACAATAGAGGAACTAGTTTTTGGATGTAGTTCTTGTATGGGACTGGGCGAATTTTCAATGGATGCAATAGCAGTTGGAGCTCGAATAATTGAAGTCTGACAATAACTCGGGACTTGTGATTCAGGTTCAACCTTCAATGGGCGAACCATAAGCACTGTGTTTAATCCAGAATCTACAAAATAAGAAAAAATATAGTGGTGGTAATGAAAGGTAATCCAAATGTGTTTTCTATGAACAATTGGTAAAAGCATGCACAGCCACATTCCAATTGGAAGAAATACAAAATGTAATTACAGAACACAGGACAGGAAATCAAGTTTCTAAAGCTGCTACCATAGATATAGCAAAGAATTACTCCTTACCAAATATTATAATTTAGCATTAAAGCCATTAGTAAATGTTGTCTAAATCAATCTCTTACTCTACCATGGCTACCATGTGTTGCATTAGTTTGTAAACTACCAAGTTGTAAGGGTGACTTAAGGCAGACAACAACATAACAGACTCATGTGCATGTGATCAACTATACTTGAAAGAAAAGCTCTGAAATATAACCACTTGATGCTATGTCCTTTGCAATTTTTTAAACCTTTTCAATCGTTAATAAGTCAAGTTTTTATTTGGGTCTATCTACCACAAAATATTATAATGAAACTTGATCAGCTATATGGCAGCTAAATGAGTCAAGAAAATTGGTAATACATCAATTTGGGGGAACAAAGATAATGCTTACCTCTGGCACTACCGGAACCTCTAAGACACACTGAAGACATTGAATCTTGAGTAATAATATCCAGTGGTTTAGGACGCCTAGGGCATATCATCAAATGACGCTTTAAATGAGAAGTTCCACAGTTATCTTGCAACAGTTTTCCACAGTGCCTGCACAGAACTTTGCTGCCTTCATTTGTTTGAATTCGCTGCATTTCTTCCCATACTTTAGAAGTCATTTTTGGGCGCTTGGAATTATTGCAATCTTCATATTCATAATCTATCTCAATGTTTGTTGTATTCTCATTTGTCATTTTATCCTGTTAAACAAATATCAACTAAACTTAGCAAAGCAATTCATAATTTCAAATACAAAAGACATTGCTTACACAAATAGAAATGGGTTCACATAGGCCTGAACACTGGCATCTACTACACATCGAAAACAACAACCAAGCCTTTAAACACTGGCATCTTTATATTTAAATAAAGCAAACTCAACCGCTCAGTATTTTAGTTAGTAGTCACAACCAAACCAAGAGATCTTACATTCTGTAACAATTAAAGAAAAGGGAAAAAAAAAATAAAGGAAGAGAGAGATCTTATATGATGCAATACAAGAAGAAGCAGAAGAGCTTTCAAATCGTGTAAGGCCTAATCTTAATGATTCCAACTCTTAAGAAATTGAACCATTGACCATCCGGCTTACCACTGTGAATTATGAAATTGTGCAAGTTAAAGCCAGTAAATTATGCTACAGAGGCAATCCTGTTCAAGATATGGTTGAGCTCTTAACATACACGCACCTATTTCAAGAACAGAAATTCAAACCTTGGTTTGCCACATTGTGAGGGACTAGCCCTTCGATTAGAACCAATTTCCGTCAGTTGTCTCTAATCTCTAACACAAGATAAATATGCAAACAGCAACTAGACCTTAATTGTTTGCTACAATACAAACATGGTTTTCCCAATTTGGTTTATTATCCAGAGTATTTGTATCTTATCATCATCATTATTTTTAAATAAAACGATAATCTCTTAATTAACAATTATAATTCCATCGATAACCCTTTTTCATCTTTTTCATTTTGAATTTCTTCAACATAAACTCAAATTCTCTCCACTCCACTCAAATTCCTACAAATACCAAAACTTCCGCTTACTTTTCAACTTTTCAATTTCAAGTTCCACAGATCTCAACCACACAAAAATTAACTAAAAAATCGAAAGTCCTCTATTACATCCTCTAACCATTGAAATTCAATTTAAAACACGAAGCCCAGAACAAAGAATAACGGGCCTCGCGTCAATTTGGCAACCATGTATTGAATGAAAGAAAAGTCGTGATTGTAGTGTGAAAAAAATTAAAAATTGATGAACCAAAATATACAAAGTTATGATAAGAATCGGTGAAAGACGTGTTTAGTGTTACCTGATTGTGCTGTTACACGAAGCGTGCCGAAGGTGGTTGCTAGCGTCAATGAAAGTTCAGAGAGAGCGAAGCAGCAGAAAGAGACGGAAACTGTTTGAACCGGAGACAAGGGACTAAGAACAGAATCTCGGGTATGTAAGTTTCGGACTGAGCCCGGACGGGCTATGCGGTCACTGATTCAGGCTTTGAGCCCATGGGCCGGAATTTTAATGAGGCCAGGAAGAATTAAGGGTTTTTTGTTATCTGTTATAGGAATTAAGGGTTTTGTTTAGATAGTGTTGTTTGTTGAGTATTTGACTTAAGAAAAAATGATATTTAGTACGAATTTTGTATTTTAGACTTAATTGCACATTCATTCTTTTATTTTTTTAATTTTAATCTATATAATTTTATTTAATTTTTAATTTGTATAGTTTAAAATAAATCTTTTGGTTCTAATTTCAATCATTTTTAATCATATAATTTAATATAAATATTTTTAGTTTTTATATTTATAAATTTTTTAATTTTTTAGTCTCTATCGTTAAATTTTTTTTATAATATTTCATTTTGACATGAATACATGATAATGTTTTTCTTAGGTAAAAAAATATTTGAACAATGAATATCGCAGTTAAGAATAAGAATAGATTAAGCTTTAAACAATATGACTTGACTTATTTAAAATCTAATCTAACTTAACTTATTAAATAAAAATGTTGGGTTTAGATTTTTTTTAAAATTTATTTATTTTTTAAAAAAAATAAGCTTTAAACTTATAAAAAAAATTGTTAGACATGATAGATTAATCTATTTATCTATATGATATAGTAAATAAATAAATAAATAAATATATATATATATATATATATATTTCATGATTAAAAATTTAATTAAATAAATAATTTTGTAAATACAAATAATCAAACTATCAATATTTTTACATTTTTATTATATTTTACATTTTACATTTCTTCTTTGTACGAAATCAACAAATCAAAAATAAAAAATCTAGTAGTTGCATTTTGGTTTTTTTTTTTCCTTTATGGTCATAGTTGATTATTTAAAATACTTCAAATGAGATATATGAAATATTTTTTAAAAATTATAAGATTATATTTTTTCATTAAAATTTGTACATGAGTGTAAGTTAGTGTACATGAATATGTATGAGTTATCCTTCAGTTAATTTTTTTTTTCTTATTTTAAACTCTAAATTTTATTAATAATAGAGTAAAATATTTTTTATTATAGAAATTAAAAAAGAAAACTTATCATACAAATTAAAAAAAGGTTTGCACATATTTTTAAAAATATAGTTATTGACTTATTAAAAGATTTATCTTAAATTATAAAGACTAAAAATAATTAAAAAAATAAATATAGAGACTAAAAAATTTTATTTTAAATATAATGACATTTAAATTTTAAAATTATATATTTTATCATTCAACTTTTATACATTAAGTCACCTTATTAATTGAGTATATGATGTTAGTAGATCATTGACACTTTGAAGCATGTCTACATGACAAAAGAAATTCCTTAAATTTAAGCACCATATATCATATAAAATATACTTGCAAGTGCTTATGTATTAAAAAATAATTTATTTACATTACCACATCAATACAATATTAAGTCTCAACTTTTATTGTTAGTGTTCAAAATTAAATTTAACTCAGATCAAAAAAATTAAAATCAACCAAAAAAATGAAATTCAGTGACAAAATTTGAAAATTAACTGTTACTTAATTTTTTATTTTCTTAAATCATGAACTTCAGTTTAATTTATTGTTTAAAAATGTAAAAGCGATCCAAAAAAAATTAAATTAAAAATTATATGTAAATATGTTTTGTCTTGAATGCACGTTAGCAAATAATTAAATTAACATATACTAGCAAGTAAACTTATATTTTGACAATTTTTTTTTTTTAATTTCAATGATTGGTCCAACAAGTATTATATATTATTTGATTTAATTCAATGTCTACTTAAATTTTAATAACTGACAGCAAGTAATATGCAGCATGCAACTATTCTATTTTAAGTTCATTTATTGTTTTTATTTTGTATTCAATGATTGTTTTACTTTAAGTTTATTTACTATATTAATTACTTTATATAAGTTGTAGTTGAGATTTTTTTTTTTTTATAAAAATAGGATAAGTTGTAGTTGAGATTGAAATTTCATCTATTTATGTTCTAATTATTCATTTTTCAAATTTAGTGCACGTAAAACTGATATTAAGGTTATGAATAACTTTATAAAAGAAAACCATTAAGTAATGCTTTACTCTCGTTAAATTGATAAATATTTCAGTTCTTTTAATATTTAATATTATATCTGATCTTATTAATCTTAATTACAAATAAGTTAAATTTTTATTTTGATCTTAAAACTAAAATAAAATTCAGATCTTTTATTTTTATTTTAGGTTTTAGATTTGGTTCCTTAAATTTTAAAAGTTTCACTTTAGTCTTTAAATATTTTTGTTAGTCAAATTAGTTCATGCATCAATATTTTACATTAATAATGTTTGATTTTCGCTAATTCACAATTTATCACATACCACTAAATTGACCTATAGATTAATTCTATTTGAAAAATACATCTTATGTAATATCTGCTGATAAATATTATTTATTTATTAAATAAAAAAATAAACTGTTTCAACTAGATTAGATATCTACGACCTAGTATAAAAATTTCCAAGATTAATCTATAAGAAACAATATAATTACGTTTTCCAAGAGGAGAAACCAACAATTCCGATGAAAGAATAGTGAAGTCTGAGATGTTCATGGTTAGAAGATGACACTATGCTCAGTTTACAAGACTGACAATTCAACTTCTTGAGAAGAAGGAAGGTATGTCACAAATTGCTGTCAATTGCAAAAGAACCGCTATTAAAACAAGATTCCGGAGTACTTGAAAGTTTTCTGCTGACTTATATCACCTAACACTATCTGCATCAAAATGTCACCAAAAATATCAGCACTGAACATTCTCTTCGCACTTTGAGACATCAAATATAATAAATTGTATATGTCGGATTCTTAACAGTCTTGTACCTGTACACTTTTTTTTTTCTAGTTTTGGTAATAAATTTTGGTTTCCCTTTCTCAAAAAAAAAAGTTAAGTTAAACTGTTCAAGTTATATTATTACATAAAGATAAAAAAAATATAGTGACTCAAAGATAAACTGAATTTTTCCACTGCATTCTAACAAAACCAACTATTTATTAACCCCCAAGAAGATTGAAAATAAAAATTCAAAATGAGTATTAGAGATTCAACCATTCAAGAATTGCATACTTATTTAATCAGCCACTCTTTTTTCTGTGACACTATACCCAAAAATTAGAATAGTCAGTGTGCAAAGAAGCTTTTGCTATTCTCAAAACATCTTTATCTCAAAGGAAAAAAAAAATCTAATAAGAGCAATACCGTGTGTGGAGATGGATAAAGATGAAGGCAATGGAGGTAATTCCAGATGATGGATTGTACAGTTAAAGGGAGCGGACACAGGTGACTCTGATGTGTCATAGTAGCAACAAACTGCAATTCAAACCAACAGTCCATTAGTTTTCCGATTCTAAAAACAAATTTCATATCTATAAAGTAGAAAACAAACAAGAGAGACAAATTACATGCTGAAAATGATCATCGTTTCTTCCATAGAAGGAGGAATCAAACATGAGCCACGCATTTTATGCAGCAAATCCTGACGGAAAAATACTATTTCTTGGGATTGCTATGAAATATGGCATTAGGAATGTGCTTTAGGAGCTCCTCAGTTAAATATTTTGGTAGAGCACTGTTGTGCACGGGGTTTGCACACACATACACATGGCTCTACCCAAAAGATCTATCTACCAATAGAGATAATCGTATTATATAATCTATGTCCATCTTCTTGTTTGAATGATGTGAGATTTTACTTGCATCCCAACAAGCACGCTTAGGAAGAGATGTACAACGACCTGAAAAAAATTGCTAAAAATAATGTATAGCCCATGAAGAAGTAACTAGGATGTGTGAGTGATTATCAACAATGTCAATACCTGCATCACCAGGACCTGGAATAAACAGAAATTTACTGTGCTTTGTTAGCTGTGGATGGGCGAGAATTATTTTGCCCCAGCTCACCAAACTGCATTCTGCATATTAAGGTTTATAATATTTTTCAACCTTACACAACACAATAAAATATCCTTTTCTAAAGCAACAAATAATGACAATGATTTTTGTTAGAACTAATCATACTAATTATTATAATAACACATAAAATAATGTGATCTGATCCCAGCACCTAGTTCCAGACTTCTAGTTATCACTGTTAATGAACTAAATATAATCATAGCAAGTGAAATTCACCAGAGGCTCGAATAAGAATTAAATGCGAGGTTACATGGTCGAGAAGAGAAGTTTCCCGTGAAAACAAATAAGGAATCACTTCCACACTTTCAAAACCATCCGGAACAGTCTCTAGCTTTCTCAAAACCTTCTTTACGAAGAAACAATTCCAAGATTAAATGAAGCTACATAATAATAACTAGGTGCTAGAGGAAAGGAAGAGAGAATAGAAACAAATCAAATTGCAAATTACCTCTTCACTGTCTATCCAAATATCAGAAAGTACAACATCCAGGTAAGCAAATTACAATTTCTCCATCTCTGCCAATCTGATCTATTGGAAAGGTATAGGAAAAATACATCCAGGTATGATACCAAACAAACATCAGGTATTGTAATAATAATAATAAACTTATGCCAGCATAATATAAAGAAGTCAAGAATTTTGTTGTGGAACTGGACCACATATTCCTTTTTCTTTTCTCTTTTGTTTTCTTGTACACCAAACAAGAGAAAAAAAACTCGATAAACGTGTTTTCTTTCTTTTCCTTTTTTATCTCTTATCCTTCATTCAAATCAAACAAGGTTAAATATCTCCTATCCTTCCACAGTTGACATCGTACAAATTAGGGTACTAAACAATATGTCCTTAGAGTATTAAACAACTGTTTATGTTCTTCCAAACCATATTTTGTTTGCAACTAGGGAGCGTAGAACATAATTATAGCAGTTAAAGAATAAAAAGGTGTCATGCTTTTTGTTGCACCTTAAGTATTCTATAGAATATTGGCAACTGTAATAAATTATCAATATATCCTGTGACCAAAATTAAATGAACTTGGATGAAGTGGTCTAAACCAAAGTTGAAGTTGGTATTGCTAAATCCATATTTTAAAATATGAAGTAAAATATGCAACACTAAACCCTGGTTTAGAGAAACATGTTACCAACTTCAAATACTCGATCTATCTTAGTGGAAAGCTAAGGTAATATCTAAAGCCAAGCCCAAACCTTTAAAATTTTTCAAATAAACACAAAAGGCAATGACACTGCTATGAGTACCCAGAATAACAAACATATCCATTATAATGGTGCGTACATAATAAGAAATCCAGGATCACCATGCACTTACGAAACCTGCACTGACAAAATCCTGCATCACCTCCAGGTCATATCCATTGAATTTCAAGCATCAGAAAACGCCCATTCAACAGAGCCAAAATATTCAGAAAAATATAAGAAAATCAGAGGATATACCTGTTCTGGCAATCTGATTGTAGCTTGAATACCATAAGCTGGAAGGCAATAGTTGTGAGGCCAGGAAGAAATTCTAGTGCGCACCCTAACTCAAAAGTTCTTTAGTGATTTTTAATTCCCACTTTAACTCGGCCTTTATTTTTCAGCTTCACTCCCCTGTGTCGTCGAAGGATTTGCCACCAAAGCAACTTCTTCTGACTAGTTCTATGCTTCACCCCATCAAGCTTGGAAGGCTTTGGTTTCTTTGAATGTTGGATGTGTCTCAGGACCCCTTCCACAAGTCTATGAAACTTCCCAACCTGGTTTTTCTGAGGCAATGCTCTTGCAACAGCAGCCCCTCTCCTTGTCTTCTCATCTTTTTTTGTTAGCACCCCATGCTTGTCTTTATGGTGGAAGACATTCTGCAAGTAATTCCACATGCCATGTCTATGACCTGCTCTAGAATGAGTGTTACCATGATCATCATCAAGATGATGATGATGATGGTGGTGGTGGTGAAAGATTAGTCCCAACTTATTTTTTAGCCTCCTTAGTTTCCCAATTGTTTCCTTAGAATTCCTTTCACGGTGATGCCTATTAGATTTGAAACCGCCAAATCTATGAGAAGGGCCATCATCCTTATCGAGATATGAATTGTTACTCTCTTCTGAACTGCCTTCATACGCTGCATCCACCATCCTTCCTAATGGGGAACACTGTGTTCCATCTGGCAAGGAGTAATCCTCAGAATCACTGGCACTGCCTTGCAGAGAATTCCAGCGAGAAGAATCAGAGTTTGAGCTTGACTCCTCCAGTTCATGATGTTGTGGTAGAGCCCTTGTCTTCTGTGGTTCAAGATGACCAGTCTTATGAGTTCTTCTGTTGTCCAAAACTGAAGAGTCTCTGTGTTGATGGGAGTTTACCTTAATCTCGCTGGATCTCTGGTCCAATAGAGTTGGTTTCATTACCATCTGATGAGGTGGTGGCTTTTCTCTCCTTGCAATAATGGACTTGGATCGTGCAGACTTCTGTGCATAGGAAGATTCAGACCTCATTTCCTTTCGATTCTGATCAGTCTTTGACCAAGCCACTGGATTTTTTCTTACCATACTTTCCCTATTTGTTTTACTTACTAACATGAAATGCTTCTTAGTATGACCATCTTGATTCAAAGGGACCCTAAAACCTTGAATACACTCACTAGCTTGACTCCCAAAATAGGCATCGGCGTTAACTAACCTATTCAATGATTTAGCTCTGTCTATAACAGTTATGCTTTCTTCTGAACTTTGAATCCTATTTTGACTTCTCAACCACTCTCCTCCTGATACCATCTGGGTACCAATCTGCTTTGGTACATCAATGCTCTTTGCAGATTCTGCACTAGGATGAAGGCAATAATTCTGATTTGCCATCTTACTTTGGCTCAATGATTCATGTTCAGCAAAATAGGGTTCCTCAAATGCATTTGCTGAATCCAAATTTTCACCCTTAGAACTTGGTTTACATGTCTTCTGACTCATCAACCTATGTCCTTCCAATAGAGACTTTCCACAACTCAATTGACTTCCTGAAGCCCCATTGATTCTCTGTATTACAGGACTGTCTGAATTTGCTGCCTCATGCGTAGTATGATGACCTGCACTGCTCTTACTGGAATTCACTAAATTTGAACAAATTTTGAAAGCCAAAATCCGAGACTCAATTCTTTTGATCGCATTAACCAAATCACCAGAGAAATCACCCTTCTGATCCGAATATTCAACCTGTCTGGCAGCATTAGAATTGCTTTGGGCTTCATGAATTCTACTCATCAATGATATATTATTCTCCTCATTTTGCTCGCTATCTTTTGCATCAAACATGCGTAACGATTCTTTTGCACGCTCACCATCATCGTATAAAGCATTAACATCATGATGCTGTTGTTTATTATGATTACTCTCTGTGTTGGGTAAAACGCCATTGTCATTAGATAGATTTGTTGCCTTAACTGCATTCTGTTGCATCATACTGCTTTCCTCACCTATACTGCATAGTATTTTACATTTTGTTCCTCCATCATCAGATATGCTAAGCTTTGACGGCTCTGGCAACTGCGTCTGATCTTCCTTCTCTGGAGTCATTTTACTGCAAAGTGGATATTTTACAGAGCTTTGGGAAATGTTGGCTGAAACTGGAGACTTTGACTCCTGCACAACCACATGTTTTTCTTGTTCAAAGGATGTCTTAGATATACCTGCTTGTGTATCTATGGTCTGTTAAATAAAAGAATCAGAATCACATAAAAGAAATCACATATTCTTTATACTGCTGGTAGGCTCAGTGGGTGGAAGAATTTGAAGCATTGCTATTGAAGTGCATTTTATTCCTCTGATTAAGGTCAAAAATAGAAGAAAAGATGGAAAAGAATGATGATCTCATCCACAATATTTTTACTCATAAAAAGAAGGGTCCCATTATAATATAATGATGAACAACCATATATGCACCTTTAAATGAGTCTCAAAAACACTTTCAACAGCAACATCCAGCAAAGTTTTCAATAAATCTCGTGCCCTCTCAACCAACTGCGACAAACAAGAAAATATACATAGAAACACTGAGATTTGTCCAAGTAAAATCCAGCAGCAAGAAGACAAAAGACAAAAGAGAACTCTTTAAGATTATGTGGCAGTCACATTATGTTGGTTTTCTTATGGAAGTATAAAAGCACTTACATCCTTTGAATTTGAACTTTGCAAGGCGATGCTATTGTCTTGGAGAAGCCTATATAAGAGTCTTATAGCGCGTAAATTATTGTGGGCTTCCTCAAATTCCATTGGAATCCGCTGCTGCATAACGTGGAAACAGAAAACGCGAATGAGAAATGGAAGAAGCGCGTAACTTCAAATTTGTCAGCAGTTGCAAGTTGTAACCGCTAATGATGGTTGAACGCTGTTATTATTACTATTTCGTACTCTTATTAAAAATAAAATTAAAATAAAAAATAATAAAAGTATATTAATCTAATTGGTATTATGATTAGTTTCAAGTTTTTAAATTTGATTAAAAAATATTTTCCTCCAAATTTTATATTAATCTAAGATGATTTAATACTTTATTTTCATAAAACAAAATTGACGTAATACATACATTTCAAAATATACTAAAATATGAACACTTTGATTACTTTCAAGTTGTTCTATTTTAACAAAATTTGATATATATAATCTAAGAGATATAAACTTTCAATTTAACAGTTAAATTTTCAAAATTCACATTTAATATAAAGTTATTGAGCAGTGTAACACTTAGTAAAAGTTACACCGATGTCGTTTAAACCCTCCTCATATATATATAT